ACGACACATCTCTTTCTACTTTTGTAATAACAAAATGTCCACTGCTAAAGTCCATTTTCCTGTTGCTGATCATCCTTCGGTCTTAAGGAAGTTCACATTATCATTTATTTAATTAACCCGGTGAATAAGCTACTAAAGAAACTAACATACTACCAACAATGATTTGCACTGGTTTAAAAAAAACAGTGAAGTTTGTATTTATAAAAGATAATTTTAACAAAAGATCTCATGGAGTGGCCAGAAACTCAGTTCACAGAAAAAAAGAAAAATTGAGGAAATGTCCTGAAATTATTATTTAAAGGATTTAAAAAGACACCGATGGATATATATTTGCAGAATCCATTCTCGGTTTATTCTTTTCAACTTAACTATACCCAATTGATCTTCATCCCTCAGTCACAATTTTCTTCCGCAAATTTTATAAAATATATCAAAATTTCATAATGAGATAGGTCAAATGATTCAGTGATAATAGGAATGCAGAGAATACTCAGGAAAGTTGAAATGAAAGCATTGAATGATACTGGAAATGCAAAAAGAGAAAAGCTGTCTGGGAGAGATGAATCATAAAAAAAGTCAAATATTGTTTAGATTATTTGTTAAAAAAAAGTCAAAAAAGAGTGACAAAAAAAAACGATAAATGAAGAAGGTACTGAACGAGATTCATTACATCTCTGTTCACGCCGTCTCCAAATTGTTTAGGTTGGAGAGACGAAAAATGACAGGATAGCTTCATGTGACATTTAATATGAGGAGGATGAATAGAGAGAATAAGCTTTTAAAGATTTAGAGAGGAACTTTTTAGCTCAACGCTGAGCAATCTAACTACCAAATGTAGCTCAAAATAAGAGTTGAAATGATCAAAATTTTCGTATTTAAATGAATTTAAATGTTCAGAATTAAATTGTCACTGATCGTTGACATGGAAATGAAAAAATGTTTTGCTACAAGAAAGAAGTTTCAAGAGTCAAGCAAAAGTTAATCTTACGGTCTTTCAAGATGCCTTCTCTCTCTCCTTTATGCTATATCAAGTGATTATATTCAGGGGAATCACAAAACACTTGTGAAGAATTTCGTTTCAAGACTGACCATAAATGTATCAAAGCCAAAATAAGCATTAGCCCATTAAATATAAAATTCACTAATTCCTTGCAGAAATAGGTCAGGAAAAACTTTAGGAAAAAAAATGCTAAAATGAAAGAAACAGTTTAATCAGACAAATAGCAGCGCGGAAGAGCTCGGATGGTTATGCCGGATTTACAGAAATGTTGACGGGAAGGAAGTGAATATATTTGGAATTAAGTAATTTCCATTTTCGAATTAATCATGAATCACATGCACGTTGCATATATAATTCCTTTCAACTGCAGAGATGTAAGGTAGACGACGTTAATGTGGTAGAAATGGAAAGGTCACTTTCATTTCGTTTAAAAATTTCTTATTGCCAATGTTTATAGCCTTCTTTGTTCTGTACAATGATGCAACATGACCGTATCCAGAATTTACAGCGCTGGATTTAATACAGTGGAGTATCCAATACATTACAGAACTCTCCTCATATTATCATCGTCTAGTTTTGACGACAACTAATTATGTACAAACTTTTTGATTTGAATATATTTCAAAATCCCAGATAATTTAAAACAATCATTGTGATAAGATGATCAATAAAGTTAGTAAAAGTTGTATAGTTTTTTCTGAGAATACTTTAACCTTAACAAATATTTAAGAAGCAGAAAAAGCATAATTTTATTTGATTTGTGATGGGATCACAAAGAAAAATATCGGATCGATGACTAGAAGGATCTTATAAAGACAATATTAACAGTATGACCATTACTCCTTCTATGGCTGTTATTTCCTGCTATTTGGAAAGAAAAATCAGGAGAAAATAACGGAAAACAGGTTATCAACATTAAAGTCCAGTTCGCTTCATTTGTTATCTATAAGTTACTGATAAGGAAATACTTGAATTATAATTTATATATATATATATATATATATATATGTACAGAGAGACACATTATACTAGTTTTTTAGCCTTACTAAATATATGATTCGTAGATATTAGACATAAGATTTGTTACAGGACAATTTCTTCCTGCACTTCCTTCACTTAATTTCTTATCATCTGATACGACATGAGTACGAGATTAAAGCAACCTATCACAACTGTAACCAAGTCTATTCATCTTCCAAAGCTCGCTGAAGTTCATTTCTCCACTACATATTGCAAAATAAGTAAACGGCTGATTTACATCAGAAATTATGTTAGCTAGTTTTTTCCATTTCAAAATCGTCGACAATGTTTTGAATGCTGCGAAGAAAATGTACGAAAATATTCATCTTCCCACAACTAAGTCATATATTTCACCAATGGCTAGGTATCACACAACTAAAGGGTCTAAAGCCATTAGTACATATCAAGGATTGAAAAAATCTTTACATCCCACTTTCCTATCTAATCATTAACCCATGAAAATGATAGAACAAACTTCAAGTTAGACCAGACTATCACTACCACTTATCTTTTTTTTAAAGGTCTTCCAAATAAATGGGAATAAATCATGTGGAGAAAAATCCGGTATTTTGTCATTGTTTGACAATTCTTTTGCTTTTAACAAAAACTGAAAAAATTTTGAATGATGAAAAAGAAAATTGTCACATTAAAGTCACACCTCATATAACAGAATTCAGGAATTTCTAAAGTTTAATTTCCGAAATGGCAGGAAAATTTTACTTGAAATTCAGACAGAATTTATTTATTAGCCAAAAAGAAAACGAATGGATTTTTGAAGAATCGCAAAAAAAATCAAATGAAAATTTATCATTTTATAGGAACTTATCGTCGATGTTCGAAAAAAAAAGCTGTGACTCGAATGTACTTAAAACGTGAACTTATAAATACATTCTTCTCATCTACTAAGTTCTTACTCATCCCCAAAATTTAATGATATTGTTAATTCTCAAGAAATTGACTAACTCATGTAGTAGGTAGATTTTCGGGTTCTAATCTCCAGGAAATGAACTGCATTTTCGAGATCATGATCCGGGGTATACTTCACATCCAATATTTCACTCAGCGGAATTTCCTATAATTTCTCAAAATAACTCAAAATACCAAAATAGCTCGGGATATATTCAATAAATAAGCTTAACAAAGTCCGTAACTTCAAGATCGCGGAATTGATAACAAAGTTTTTAAAACTTAAATTACGCCAAATATTTCTTTTCAATTGAATTTTTTTCATTTGAATCGACTCTGTTTAATTTTAAAAAAACAAAATAAAATCAAAATTCAAACTGCTAACTTTGTAGAATCTTGTCGATGAATCGTCCTTATAAAGAATAATTGCTTTTGTGTCTAAACGCCAATAATGTCTCTTACGCTGCAATAGAAACATTTTTTTAAAGAAATAGTAATTCATGTAATTTAGTGGAGAAGTAAGAGTAGGATTAGTCAATTAATCGAAATGGATAAGTCCATCAATCAATCAGTTTTAATGAATTCCAGTATTTTAGATAAAATGAAGTAATGGGAAAAATGCAGACCGTATCTTGGCGGTCGGTGTAATGCATCATCCAGCCTTCTTCCAACACTTTGGCCTTGTAAGGCCTAGTTCGCTTCTTTGACATAACAATTCGCATCAACGGAATGTTCTAAAATACAAAGAATCTGGTTGTTTTGTTTGGCAAATAGCATGAAAATGAAAGGATTCAGTTAAAATACCTAAATTCAATTTCCTTTTTGAAAGAATTTGGTCCTTAACAAAAAGACAACACAGTTCTGCTTCTACCACATCAGCCTATGTGAATGAATGACAAAAGCGCTTTTAAATATTGAAGCGTCTTTGCAGATGACGAAAGACTCATGTAGGGTTCACAGTTAGTTAACACTACTATCTATCGGTATGCCTTCCTCAGTACTGGGAAAAAAGCGCTTTCGAAGGCTTGGGATGAGTCATCAATGATGATAGATGAGTCATCGCTTCTTTCTGGTTAAGAGAAAAAACACAGTTCATCATTCATCCTTCGTCAGATGAAGTGATCTGATTGAAAGCAAGGTGGTATTTAAATTCATCTCCGGTCTGTGATCTGAATCTGATTGTTAAATTTAAAAAGACGATGCTGAACCCGGAAGAGTGCTCGATGAAATATTGTCTCAATCACATGATCTTCCGATCTAATTTCATGAAAATTGATATGTTTCTAAACCTTTAATATCGCGATGTAAAATGATGTAAACCTGTGAATCAGTCAGAATGTCATCATTGCGCGATACATCGTGATCATCATTTTTGATATTAGTTGCTTGCAGGGGGACACTTGGAGTTGTTTGAGCTATGCCATGATGTGAATTCATCGTTATTATGAAGTTATCATGATTTTGAGGTGATTCTGTCAAACTTTTGTCTGCAATCGGACATTTAAAATCTAAATATTTCAACAGTTTTACATCAAAAATTTTTTAACTGAACGTAATATGCAGTATAATCGATGTTTTCCGAAATAACTTTACGTTATCATTGGAATTATCCGGTCGGAATCAGTGCGAAAATTTGATGTAACTGGGTATCGAAAGACTGCCAAACTGTGTTTGTTTGAACTGGTATAAAGTTATGCTAAGATAGATATAGGCTGCTCAAACTTTCGCCATATCACCTCAGAACAATTTTAATTGTTAAAGAGATACATTACCATCATTGTCATTTTCGGAATCACATGCGACGCTAGACATCCGTAAATCCTTCATGCTACCACCGAAATTAACTTCCATAGATTCTAAGAATAGATTTTTTTAAAAATTATGAGCCAAAAAGATACATGTGCAAAATCCGAAAGAAGCTTTATTGAGTATGATTTCTTCTTAATTATTTCATAAAGGTACTATGAGTACAAATAATCCTTTCAATCATTAGGAATTTCTAAATTTGTAACCTTTCTCATTTATTCCAAGCTGCATGTTCTGCGTTATAATACCACTACCATGACAATTATTCCCAACCATTTCAATACACTTTTTATGACAGTTATACTTGCAATCTGAAATGAATTGTAAAGAAATAAACCTTTTGGAATAAAATCTCACTTCTTGAAATTTGATTTTCTTCATTCAAATCATTGGATCACAAATTGATTAAATCGCTTAAACAAATGAAAATTGAGATCAAAAGAATAAAGGATGACATGGTCTTTTAGTTCATATTGAGATTATGGACCTCAATTCCAAGATTTTTCAAAATCAGATATTAGCGTTGAATGTTGAATGCGAATTTTTGAAAAATCAAACTTGACACACCACGACACTGTAGTCCTTGCCGTATTAAGCCTTTCAACAGCTTCTTGCAATAATGACATACGGTTGGTCGCTTATATGAGTGCACTTGAAATGTGTGCGGTATCTGAAATATTCAGGAAAAAAGTAACTACTTAATTCCTAAACATCGTCATTGGGGGAAAGTCAAACAAACCTTAATCCAAGTAGCTTCGGACACTTTCATCCCGGAAGATCGACCGCTCCAGCTGCCGCTGCGTTCTTGCAAGGAGACTTGTAGGAAATTCTAAAATGTTAACTTGTTTAATTTTATTTTGCAATATATGAAAATTTTGGAAAAAAAAATAAAATTTATGAATACGAAGATACTGGCGTACCGCAGGAGTGATGAATTCGGGAATGAAATGTAATAAGATCATAATTAAAATGTTTGCACAAAATTCGATTTAAATATTTCAATAAGCATAAAAGACTCATAAATTATATAAAATAAAGAAATAACAAGGTAACAGAGCATATTCTGAGAATTTACATAAGAGAATGAATTTATATTGAGTACTCATTGCTTGGGACTGTAGCTAACAAGTTCTTAATGATTTAGGCATCCTATTTCAAATTAATGTGTACTGTCTCACAATGAGTGTCATCCATAAGAAAGCAGAAATGTTCAGAGAAGAAAAATTGAGTTTTGTAAAAGTTTGAGTAGTAATAATGCATAAACAGTAGTTATTCATATGTAAATGTTGGCGAAAAAATTGAAAATAAAAAGAATTAATAAATTGAGTGTGAAAAAGATTAAATTAATTAATCAAATCCAGTTTTTTTCTTGAAAAGGAACATTAGAGTGTGTAGGCGTTATAGCTATCCTAAAATTAAATTAAATTATATTGGACAGGTCTCTAACGAAATTCTGATTTTCATACTACTGGCTATTGACATCTTGCTGAACATCTGTAACTCAATTTTTGATAAATTGAACTTCAAAATTTCAGTAACAATTTGATAGTCAAAATATTTGTTATCATTTGATTAATTGCTTTCTTTTTCAGTGTCTTATTCCGGGCATTTAAATTGACAAAAATGAAAAATGGTTATGTTTGCGCAAAAGTAAGCTAAGGTTGCATGTGCGATGAACGGTACTCAAAGCTAAGATATATGAGGAATGCTTCATTTCATGTCAACTTTTCAAATGACGAAATATTTCTATTCAATTTTTCCTTTTTAAAGATATAAGATAATAGCAATGTTTAATTTTGTTTATTTAAGCTCGTAATAAAATAGGAAAAACTACATCGGCTTAATAACCTGCTATTTCAGGATGATGTCCGTCTAATATAGAAGAAAAAAAACTAAAAAGCGTCCATTTAAAATTCATTCTAGTAATTACCATAACGATCTCAACTATTCTTTTTTATTCCACCACACTTCAATAAATTGACGACAATTTATTACTGATAATTTATATTGTTGCTATTCAGAAATTACAATGGTCAAGTGGTCAGATGATCAAAAAGTAGCAAACACTATATATTATGTGTTCTCAGTTGCTTAAAAAATCTGTCACCTATAATTGCTAAAACCCAGTTAGTCTGGCTAACAAAGGAAGATATTTATTTTCCCTCAGCCTCTTTTCAAACTCTCTTTATTATTTTTAAAACTATGTTGGCTATTTCTTGAATACATATAATGAATTTAATAAATGTTTGTATTAGAACTTCTAGTAATTAAAGTATGCGCTTTGCTGTTTTGCTGCAAATATTCAAGGGATAATCCTTCTCAGATAATTGCCTGAGGCATTTTGATAGCCATACTGATGCCAAAAGCCTATATATTTCTTTCTTCTACGGATAGCCATCTAAGCTAACTTTGATCACATGTCACACTTTCTGGAAAAATCGGAAATAGAAATACGTGTAACTGAAGGTCAGATGTGGATTTCAAAATTGTTAAAAATGGTAAGGAAAAAATGGATTCAAAATGAGAAGCTGAACAATGGAAGTTGGAAATAACAAAAGAAGAGAAAAGGATGACAGTAATAAGAGCAAAATATTAGAAAAACTTCACTCTTTCTTTTCCTTAGTCTTAAATTAGGTGCTATAAATTAGCGTTAAAAATGTAAATCTGTGCAATAAATGACAGACTGCTTCTTATCATGTGTTTTTACAAGCTCATTAAAGTTAAGATTTTAAGCGTCGCAGTCCTTTGTCAAATCTTGATAACAGCAATAGTCGCGGAGAGATTCATTTCCATCATTCGCCGGATCTCATTACATCATGGATTGATACCAATAGCAGGTAAGATAGCTAGGTTAGTATCAATGAACCAGATTTCCGCAAAATGTTCAACGAAATCAGTCATTCATATTTGCCAGTAATTGTGGAAGGAAATTTTATCAGGACAAATTAATAAAAAAAATGATACTTACTTAAAGCATATTGCGCTGACAGTTGTATCTTATTTGGTCAATAACACCTAAAGCTGAAGAAATTCATAATTGCAAACGAACATTTTGGTTAGTTGGAGAAGCTGGTCGACTGCGCCAACTGATATCATTAGCAGTTGTTATTGATATATCGGGTGGCACCTGAATAGTAAAGTTGGTCCTTGACTATTGCTTTATACAATAACTTACTGGTTACTAACTGTTTGTGCTATTTATCTTCTTGATTATAAAAAAGAACCAAAATTATAATTCGTAAGTATTAACTTTGAATGGAGAACTTTTCAAAATTATTTCGAAATTTACCTGTTGCTTTATTAGAGTATTATCGAAATTGTCAACTGGCGATGAGACAGGAAGAAAACTCGTCTAAAGAATAGTTTATTTTATTACCGAGAATCAGTTTAAATCTTATGGTTCATTACAAATTGTCAAAGAGAAAAATTGACTAGATTTCCTTGATGAAGAGTGACTTTGGCAGTAGAATCTCCCAATGACAAAAGATGAGGAGCTGACAATTGCTGCTTGTAACCGTTACAATTATTCGGGATTTTCGAAACACAACGTTTATGATAGTTCAATTTACATTCTGAAATTGTTAATTAATAATTATTACAATCAATCAATCAATCATCCGTCTTTTCTTTAAGTATTCTCTATAAATGGAATTACATTAATGAAATAAAGTCTAGTAGGTATGAAAACCTCGGCATTTCAGGCCCTGTTTCACTAATCCAAATAGCATTTCACCGCAAAAATCGCAGAATGTTGGCGATTTGTAACTGTGCACATATAGGGTATGTCGGTACATCAGTAAACGTTGATGAAAAGAGTGAGCTGAAAATGGATTTAATTACTGAAAGGATACAATGAACAATATAACTATCGAACTGACCGAACTGATATTTAATTTATGTTTCTTAGCCACGAATAGGGCAAATTAATTAGTTCTCAGAAAGTACAAACAATATATTTAAGCCTTCTGAAATGATATCATTCTTTATTTCTGATTTTGGCAGATAAGTGAATGACTTTGAGATTATTTGGATATAATTTGCAAGTGGATATGTTAGAAAATGGAAATTTCCTCAAACGCTCTTCAAAGTAAATAAAAATTCTTTTTTTAAGATTTGAATTTGAATAATATGATGTTATCAAATAGAATTGAAATTTCTTGCATAGATCTCTAATAGTATGCACTTCATTTTAAATTTAATATTAAAATAGTTCAAATTTTTGGCTTATCTGTTTATTAATTACTGTTACCTGAAGGATAACATCAAAAAATATGAAACAATATATTGGTTTCAGTCTCTGTTCACATGAAAGGAAAATGATTATAGCAATAATGAAGGTATGTAAAGAGTTTATAAGTTTTTGATCTGTGGCCAATGAACAGATTTTCATTTTAAAAGTTTCTCTAAAATGTCTCATCATGCTATCTTTTTCCAATGCTTTTCGAATATTGCATTTTTACTAAAGCGTTTTGCATCAGATCGTTATTATGTGACGCAACACCTTCCAGGTAATCATAGGAGCTGGAACTGAGGTACTAACACTAAGATAAATTCATTTTACTAGCCTTATCATTCTTTTTATTTCTTAACTTCCTGATGATGTAATATAAAAATGGAAATCAACAATCCATTTTTTTTTTGTACTTATTTTGATAATACTAAACAATGGAAGAAGAATAATGATTTCTTCTAAAAATAACTTTTGTTTGAGAGGAAATATGGCAGTCTTTTTGTTTTGCATTTGAGTGAGGACATAGTGACACTATGGTGACACTAAACGTGCTTTCAAGCAACTCTTTTTCGTTTAACTTCTACCCTTCTCACTCGCCAATTTTCTTTTTTTTTCCCAACTCTTTTTGCTCGCAATGAAAAAACTGAGGAATTTATAATTTCCATTCTTTGTTGTTTTGGCGAGAGGTGGAAGTTTCGGTGGGATAGTAAAGAAACTTGAGAAGAATCACTACCATGAATTTGATGCAAATTTTGATACTTTACGGAATGACAGCATATATTGAGTAAATTAGATGGAGTGAATGAAGCGCATTAAATATTGAACAATATGAAAATGTTAAGAAAACTAGGCTGCTATTAGAAATTTTTTGAAAGAAGTATTGGACATAACATTTTGAATGTCACAGTGATTATTTGAAACTAAAATGATTGATCAACAAAGGATGAAACAATATGTTATTTTTGAAATAATAGAAAGTAACTTCAAATACATTTAATATCACAATGTTCTCTTTATTTCTACGTATTTTGTCGGGAATTTAAAAAAAACTTTGGAAATTAATTATTTGGAAAGTGAATATATTAAAAATGCTATAAAAATACTGGGAGGAAATAAACAGAAGTTGTATAGTGGAAAGACTTCATAATATCGGGAACTTCACACTATCTATCCGTTAAACGACTCGAACTTACTTTACTAGAAGTTTAGACTAGCAGTTAAAATTAGTACCGGTAAAACGGAATAGATCTTACAAAGCTTCTCTTCACGGACTGAATCTGTAATAAAACTCCCTCAAACAGGAAACTGTGAATCAGTGCTTTGAAAATCAGGATCAGATTATAAACGGAAATTATTTTCAACCTTCAACATCAATTCGATGAAACTTACAACCGATTACAACTTCAATTAGCATCCCGTCCGAGATATCATTAATTGTAGTGATCAGCTGCAGAATATTGGCAGAGTTGCTATCATGGTGATACAACAACAAATAATCAGATAAAGCATCATTAAAACCATATCTTGAGTACTGAAATTCAAAGAAAAAAACACATGAAATAGTAGAAGTGAAATATAAGAAACTTTTAAATAAATTGGCAAAATAAAATTCAAAAAAAGAAATTCAATTTTTTGAAAAAATATCAAATGCACAATATTTAAACCCATCAACGTTTTTGTTTTCAGCTATACGTGTTAATGCATTACATCGTTTATGTATGTGTTCAAATTTCGATTTTACGAAAATGAAAGTTTTGAGATCCTGAAATCAACAAAACAATCTCTGAAATCTGATATCTGGCGACATAATTTCTTCGACCAATTAGAAATCTGATTTATTCAATAAAAATCATTCTATAAGCTACTTTTGAGATTTAAAAAGCAGGCAACACAAAGCAAAAGATACGGTCACTTTTAAATGATTAATATTAATATTTTCGTAGCTTTCCGGTCCATTTCCATCGGACACTGTCTTGAAGTCGAATGCACATATTGCATTTCCTAAGTGAACAGCACGATTGATACAGTATTAGTTTTTTTTGAAAAAAACTTTGAAAAAAAACTTGATAAAGCAAGAACGAACAACTTTTTGAATGAATTTTGTCGCCAAATTACGAAGTTCTTCTAATGAAATTTTCTCATTTCGTACCGCAATTACTTCCTTGAACACACCAGATTGAAATGAAATATTGATTTTGTTCATATTAAGACGAACTTTCTAGAGCATTCTGAAAAGAAATCTAGAATTTAAACGAAGTTAATGAATATTCCTTCCAGTTCAATCATTGAAATATATAGCAAAATCCTTTCAGTAAGAAATGGGTGAAATTTAATTAAAGTTTGACGTTCGAAATGGGAAGGAGAAAGGGATACCTTCTTTAAAGTACAATTCTCTTCCATTGATTTGTTCATATAAAGCTTCTAATTCCCAGTTGTATTTAAACAACTCATATCAAAGGAAATCTTTTCCTTGTGAAAATTACTGAAGCAATACTGATGATATGACTTTATCTTAAAGTAAGTTATTACTCAGTCACAATTTTTGACAATTAAAGTTTCCAAAAGGCTGCAGGAGAAGTTTCGACTTTAACTACGCTAAAAATTTTCATTATAAAGCACAAAAAATATTCAAAAGTGAAAAATAAGAAAACAAAAAGTTTTAATCGAAGCATTAAAACTGCAAAAGATTTGATAAGACAATTTGAATTTTTGAACAATAATGGAAGCTTTCATTACGAGCTTTCATCACTTTCCTACACATTTCTCTGGCATTGACATCTTTTATCCTAAGCATATAAGGTCAAAGAACATATGAAGAAAAGCACTAAGATTCCTGAAATGATTCACGAGATCCAAAAATCAATGAGAAACATATTTGTTGAACGGTAGAAAAATGATAGCAAATATTTCGCAGATCATTCAAAAAAAAGAATGAGTAAAACGAATTATATTTTAAAAGAAATGAAGAGATGCTCGATTTCTCCCGCGATATGGGAATATATTCGCGGCAAAAGAAAACATTTCCGTTTAGCTTTTTAGAAGCCAAATCATGTAATCTTTACCATCTTCATTAAGTATGCGAACAGTGAATCGCCTCATTTACTTTGTTGGTATGAACTGGAGTCAAAAATTGAAAGTTACTTTTCAAAATATAAAAGACGCGAAATGTCCTACGATAACATCGATTATAAAAATATGCCCGATATTGAGCCAAATAAGCTTAAAATATCCTAAATACTCAGTGTTCTTCTATAGATGGAATTGTAAACTGATGATTAATGTTCAGTTTATTTAATTACTTTTGCGCTGATGGCTTTCACATTTAATTGTCATTTTACTGGCAATTGAAATATGCCATTAAAATTGACACTGCGTGCTTCCTTCCTTCATTACTTCTCCTTTTTGCTGCAAACTTCACTTAAGGTTCCTTTCATGATCAGATAAAAATAATTCTGCAACTGCCATCTACAGACTTATGAAGAAGAAAAATGAATAACTGGTCTGATGAAGCATATATCAATGAATCATCAGTATTAGCCAGTAACTTATTGAAGGGAATGATCCTACAACTTGAAAAGCATATAAGTGCCATAATTTCCAATCAACAATAAATCCTTTCAAATTAGTATACATTTCCAATTTCCGAATGGTTGCTGTCACCTGTCACCATATCCATTATACATGCTTACACATATATGTATGTATATAATAATAAATATTGGGAAAGGGCACATATGTGTGAGTAAAAAGGATAAAGAGAAACCCAGTGATGTTATTGATCACAAAGGACAGAATTAAAGTGAGAGAAATAAATAAAGTGAATTTAGAGGAATAGACAGGCCTTTAAATGCCTATCTTTATTCCTAATATAAATGTTGCTATTGTCATAATCCATATTATCACTATATATTTCATTTGATATTATGGTGAAATATTATATTACTTAGCTACATCTATATTCCTTCTTCAAAGGTTTGTATCTTATCGAAAACTTAATGACTATAAGTAGCAAAGGAAGAACTAGTAATGACCCAAGATATGAAAGAAATTTCGGGTGGTGAATTGTTTTTTCTAATTGCAGATCTAGCAATCAAGTTGTTTCCAATTGTAATTATAGGTAAAGGTAACAAATGTGTCACCAAATATACAGTTCACTCCTAATCATACCAAGTTCATTTACTACCTTTTGCTTCGCTTCTTCGTGTTTTCCAAAAGAAATTTTCTAATTAGATAGAAACCATGTTTGATTGTGTAATTGATTATTTCAAAGGAATTGACACTTCTAACTGGTCAAATATCGACATTCAAATTTAGCTCCAATCATTATTACGAAACAGGGATTTCCGAAATATAGATGAATCTAGAATGAAGAGGAAGGGAAGTGTCACATTCCATATAATACAATCATAGGAGAGGAGTGCAGCGATTTCTTAAAGAGTGAGGACGCGAAATGGCAGTGGCGCCTTTGCACAAAATGACAGCTGCACCTTTTATCCATTATACACCTACGTGAAATCAGTATGCTCTTTATACAATCTATTTATGTCGTAAAGTTACTTTAACATTTTATCAATATTAATTGATAATTGCTCTTCCTAAATGACTTTGAGCATTTGTCCTTAAAAATGATCCTTTGAAATAGAGTATTGTTCTGTACTGATTATCCAATTAAATTAATTTAAGCAACATTAGAGTTCAATATGTTATTCCCATTTAAGTATCGGTATTTTTGCTTCCATCTATTTTTTTCTTTTTTGATAGAAATTAATCCTCCATCCACCATCTACCATCTGCAATAAATTATTTAAATTGTTCCACCATTTTTTTTTTTTGCCCTTTCTAGTTAACATCCAACTTGTCCCTTCTGATCCTTAATTAGCATATCCTTTTACCTTAGCCGCGTTGTAATTGCTTTTAAATCATTATTGCTGGAAACAGTGTCATTGATCTGCTATTGTGTAAACGGATGAGTTTAATTCATAATGCTACATACATTTTGGGAAAATTCAGTCAAATGAATCAGTTTATGCAAAAAAAAAGAGTTATGCTTGATATTTAGATGGAATGTGACAAATGATTGCTCTTTTTTTTTCTTTGATTGCTTGGTTTTGTGGTTCAGTTGTCGCTCGACTCACTTTTGCTGCTCATGATCGCTTTATCAAAGATAGAAATTTGTCGCCAAGTGAGTGCTATTTTTCCAACACTTCTCTGAAACGTTCAGTTGCGGTTTGATTGTTGAGAGAAGAAATGCTTATTATTACTGAACTTAAGAATAAGGGACTGCTTAAGAATAAGGAACTACAAAGGAAACTGCTAAGAAGATATTAATAATAAAATTTCAAGGAGGGATTAAATGGATCAGAATAGAGAAATGAATTAATTTATCCGAAAAATAGTTCAATGGAGCAACTGGCGAAATTTAAGTCACAGGTTGAATTGAAATGAAAATTAAAACTTTCCAAAAAAACTGAAATTGAATTGCTCACCAAAGGGAGGAATTTCACTAATTTTTTCATTCAGCCTGAAAAAAGTCAATAAATCTTTTTTCTATGTTTAAATGCAAAAAACAAATAACAGCCAGTCGATGTATGACAGCTATTTGAGTGGATAAATATTTGTCACAATAACACTTATAGGAGGATAAGTTTTGAAATAAATTTATTTCTTTTGACATTCATCCCTTTGAAATAAAGAATTAAAAAAAAAAAAGTAAATTTCTGTAGATTTACAGAAAATGAAGCATCCTTAACTGATATCAGGATTAGGCGGAGGAATGATTAATGACAATGACGTGACAGTTTTGAACAAAGTTGAGCAGATTTTTATTTGCATTTAGATTTCAAGCAAGTCAGGAAGACAATTAGTTCTATTAAAAAGAGCAATGTGACCACTCAGCCTAAGGAAAGGCCACTGCACTGAGTGACCAAACATTCATTCTTGTTAGATGGAACGTGACTTGAATAGCATATGCAATAGTTTACATAATAGTATTATTTAAATAAATGAAAGTTTTCGAATGCACTAACTTTGAAACTTAAATGTAAACTTTGAGATGGCCAAATTGTGATTCATTTCATCATTTCAAAAATTTTGAATGTTAAAAATGTACTGATTGCCGAATTTATAAAATATTTAGTTCGAATTGGAAAGTGCCATTATTAAAAGCGAAGTAGAATGTTAGGTAAGGACTTATAAGTGAGGCTAAGCCTTGAAATTGTTAAAAATATTCATTAATTACAGTACAATTCCTTGGACAGCTACTTAACTTCCTAAAAATAAGTAGCATTATTTGCACCAATTTCTACTTTTCCTCCCTTTCTCTCTCTCTCCCTTTCTTTTTCTCTCTCCTAACATTTGAATAACATCCCTTGATAAAAGGCACATTTCATTGTAATTTGAAATTCATTCATAGCAAATGAATAAGTTCTTATAGAATAAATCAAAGACAATTGCAATTAGAAGAAAGTTTGTGAAAATCTTTTCAGCGACAAATTTCCTTTTTATGCTAGAAAGTGAACAAAAAATTCATACACAATTGTTTTTTTTTAATCAATCCTTTTATACAAAGTAGAATATCAGGAAACGGATAAAAATGACAATTTTTTTCCGGTTCAGGATTTGTCCTTAAAAATTCTGCGACAAATTCACCTCCTAACAGTAACAGATTGCATTGAAAAGTTGAAAATATTGAATTTGCAGATGAAAATGGAAGAAGACAAGGGAAGCATGAAATATCTCATCGATAAATTATAGGGAGGAAATAAATTCAATCTTTTTTTTCAAACTGACTGGAACCGATGGAAAAAAAAATTTGATTTTGCTGCCTTCTTGCAATTTCAAATGAGCAAGCGAAAATGAAGGACAATACAGTAAGCACTCAGGTTTTGGTCTAACTCTAAACTCAAATTGGGACTTCCTAACTATTCCATTTTACTCTTCTTTAAAAACTTTTGTTCTTAATTGAAAAATTTTCATAAAGATTTTACTGCTGAAGACTACGAATAATAATTGCTTTGGAATGGAAAAAGAATGCAAAAAATTCCACCAAAAGATTAGTAATTTTGAGAAATACAAAAAGTTGTATTATCTGAGACATAACAAATCTATTTCAGTCTCGGCTTCTTGAGCTGGATCAGGGAAATAGAGTTGTAAGCAAAGAATGACGGAACCAATTAAGCTTAAAATAAATTTAAGTAATCTCAATAGCAGGAGGATTTGATATACAAATACTTTAAATTGTTATTATTCTTGGTACTCTTTCATTCATGATTAAATGATATGAAGAGATTGTTGAAGCTTTTCCAAACCTCTAAGCATACTTGTCATTCTAGTTATGGAAGTGATATCCATTAGATAGAGGAGTACCATATTTTTTTTTTATTGCGTATTAATGCTTGCAAATAATTGTCGAAATTTTTATGAATTGAATTCCACTCCCATGACTAGAAAGTTATTTGAAAGAAAAAAAATTGTAAAAAAATATTCAAGAGCTCAATTTTCGTGAGAGAATTCGTGAGAATTGCTGCTAATTCCAATTTACTCGTTTTAGGACAGTTTAAAATGACCAGAATTGAACTTAATTAATTCCTATGTATTACCATTTTTGCTAGTTATAAACTGGTACTCTTGACCAGTTTTAAGTGATTTAGTTAAGTTTTATAAAAGATATAAATTCTAAAATGTGAAATAAACCGATCAATAAATCTGCTCGTTTTCAATTGTAACTTAGAAATCATACACCCTTACCTGTACAATTAACCAACAGCCTTTGTGAGAACGAATTCTCATTTTGAATTATTTGAAATCGTTTTATCAATAGAATATGATGAATTTATTGTTTATAAAATGAGAGAATCAAAGTCTGAAACTTTAAAGGTACTTGTCTGAGACACCATTTCATTCGATATTAAGTAGAAAGTTTTATTGGACACAATAATTCTTTTGAATTTCAAACTCCCCTAGCTTATCATCCACATTTGGATGCAAACAAAATATTGGAGGGAAAAAAATTGCACTTCAAAGTTAGAATTTCTTTTCCTACCCTTTTAATCTAAACTTTAAACTTTTAAAGTGCAATCTTGACAATAAGATGAACAATTATAGTCGTTTGTGTTCATTAGTACTTTTGGAAATGAAGCAAAAAGATCAGAAGAACGAGAGAAACGAACTTTTCAACAGGTCAAGTATTTTAGTTAATTTAATGAACAAGGTCAATGAAACTGGCATTTCATCCATTTTGACGATAGATGATTCAGAAATTTTTCTTTTTTTCACCATTGTATTTTAATGGGCGCATATATAAACGTTTGGATTAGCAGAGAGGACGTGTGAATCACTTTGTTGACGTTAAAAAGAGATTGAGATGTAATTTATCAAGTATTTATGACGATAAGTATCACAAGATTACACTTGTCACTTAGGTATCTCAGGTACAAATAAATAGACCGGAAGTGTAAGACTTCATATTAAAATAAACCAATAAATGGGTTAGATCAAAGATGAACGAAATCCTTGTTTTATTCGTAGAAAATTAAATTGATAATGAATCAAGCGAAGAAACTGAAAAATATTTTATAAATATAGCACAAATGCCATGGCCTTCATTTGATGCAAATTTGATAGAAACAGGTAACACATCCACAAAGGTTGGCTTACCTTGGTTAAGCATTGGCCAAGCACTTGCATTCATAAATAACAGGTGCTTCGACTGTTGCTTATCTCATAAACAAGCTTAGACTGAAGAGTAACTAACAACATTTCCGATGTATTTTTGATTATCACATTATTTTACTTACCCAAAAATGCAAAGTTATTTTAATTTCAATTCTAAGCCAAATCTAAAACTCATAATTGAACAATACTTTACTTTTAATATGAAATGTTCAAATTGCACATCTTTTCCAACTTCTTTTTCTGCAAAATCAATTTCATTATCCATTCTTTGAGAGGAATTTTCTTTCATTCATAAACTTTTTTGAAGCTAAAGATACGCAATGGTAAATTTCATTATGCAATATTTTGTTCGACGTAACGAGAGGAAAGCAAAACAAAATGGATTTTTAATTTTTGTAAAATGTTAATCGGATCAAAGTTTGAATTTGAGATGTGAAATGCTGTTGCAAGCAGCGGTGAACTCATTTCGTGTATCGATCCAAAACACTTTGAAAACAAAATAAACACATTTGATGAGTAATTTTTATAAAAAAGAGAGGGAGAGGATGGAAACAAAAGTAAAATATGTATTTAAAATTGTTATAGAACGCAAAGAAAAAAAAAGAAAATTTGAAAATCTTCGGATAAGAATCTGTACCTTTTTAATGTTATGATTAAAAATTTCATCGATGTTGAAAGAAAAATTCTAACATATCCATAATTAGTAGAATAAGAAGTAAACTTGAAGCAGAAAATAGCATGAAGAAAACCATAAAGGTTGAGAAGGAGAATCACGACCCTGGATGTGTATTCAAATTGCTTTTCAATACTGTACGTGGAGTACCATCGTCATTAAATCGGACTCGGCCCCGATTACCAAATGAGGAAGCTGATGATCCGGTATAAAGCTCCGATTCATCCCGAAATTGTGGCGGATGCGTACTAAACACTATGGTTCCCATCGGAATCCCAAATCCGCCTATAAACGATAACAAATATTAATATTGAAATTGTAAGCATAAGTTAATCTGCTGGAGGTGTAGAGTTTTTGAAGAGATTACAGCATAATGGGTAGAATCCCGTATCGTTTACGGATTCGTACAATTGTGGATTACGTCGTCGATGAAGCCAACATCCGTTGCACAGAAGGCAGCAGAAAAATGAGCAAAGAACACTCAGGATTATACTAATGATCAATCCAATGATAAGTAATGTGTAATCAATCCTGAAATAAACTTTTTGCAAACTTTCATCGACCAATAGTTGTGAATATCAAACAACTGGCCTGACCAAGTCTAAGTTGCTTCTTCCTCTAAAAAATGTGTGTAATCTAATGATTATAGCGTGGATAGACTGGTAATGTCACACTTTAATTCTTTGCCAGAAAAAGTATGCAAATATTTTTCAAAAAAAGATTTTAGATTTTAGGAAAACGATTTTTTCACTTTTTATACAAAGGTGATCCTTGTGACGTTGATAGGATGTCCAATTTTATTCAGTAGCTGATATCCAAATCTACTCAAATTTCAAAAATTGTGTTTGAACTTTCATAGCCTACTGAAAATTACTGCCATAAGCAATGAAACGCTGTGGTCGATTGTGCTTTGAGATCGTATTACGAACAATTTGATCGTCCTCCAATTCGCAACAGAGATAATCCTAGAAATCTAAATTTCCTGGAAAATCTAAATTATTTGGATGAAAATTCTAAATTTAGGTTCCATCAAAGTTTCCACTTTATGATTGGTCACATGAGTTTTACGAATATCTGAGCTCAGAGCTTGGAGACTCTAAAGTTTTGGATAGAACTTCAGGTGGGAAAAAAGTACTACATCAGGCATAATTTCATTTCCAACGAAGTTTCTTAATTTTTTATAAATTCAAAAAGAAATTGGTTTTAATTGAATTCTTTTTGTTTCACAATGAAAATTAATTCGTGCTCTCACCAACCCACTGGAAACATAGAAGTATCGTATGGAAATTCATTAAAAAAATAAAATAAAGATATTAGCCTTCTAATTACAATAAAAACGTTAGCTTTCTTTTATAATCGCAACTTATAATTCATCCTATTTTCCATTCTACTTTTAATTAGCTGAAGAACAAACAAATATCAAATAAATTTCCCTCTTTAGACAATAAAACTCACAGCATTGATACCTAAATCGTTTATTTGCCTCAATTTTTGTAAAAATTCTTATCATAAAACACAGGTATTTTGGAAGGTAAACTGATAAAGGCTTGGGCTCTCGCATTTATTATCCTTTATTCCCCGAATAGTATAGGAAGTAATATATGCAAATAAATGAATATTGAAAAAATATATTGAAGCGCCACAGTTTCGTGCGAAAATTCCCTGCCATCTCAATCAAATAACAATAGAAATTTACAACATTTTTGGTTTTTAATTATCATTTAAATAATTGGAAAGTCAAATTTATCAATTTGTTTTACAATGAGTTGGAAACTTGTGACTTTCACTTTAATTCATTATTCGATAGGCTCATCAAAAAGGACTGTCTGTCTAAAGAACTCAGTAAGAACAGTAAGAACAGTTCGCTTTGAACTGTTTTACCATTTCAAATGAATTTTTCCCCGTCTGTTTTTTTAAAAAAAAAGACAACAGGGACAGTTTTCTAACTCCACCATTCTTATAAAAGCATAAAAATTGCGTAAGCTTACCTCAAAAGTAGCATTTAAAATTTCGCAACACGCAAGCTCGCATGCAAGTACTTCACCTTGTTTATTCGGTGGACAATTGACGGTTGCATAACAACCTGTCGTTAATGCAAAAAACACTTTTATAATTGTTTTAAGCATTCTGAAAGTGTAAAACAGATGGCCACTTAATGAAAGAAAAAAATATATAAAGTAAAATGAAATAAAACAAGTAAATTATTGTGATTGAATCGATAAAGTGTGCGGTTATTGTCTATTGTCTTCGTTCGATTCCATATAGAATACATTTCGGCCGATGACTGCAACTGCTGGAAATAGTAAAAATCGTGAAAGATATTTGTCCGTTTCGAGTTTTTTTTTTTTGTAACAAACGGATAATGACTCATGTTTGCTTTTGAAAAAGAAATGCTGCGGTAAATTAGAACAAAGTGATGGAAAAAGGATCGATTCATCAAATAATTATAAAATTCCGTCTGGTAATTCTTGAAACTTAACAAGAATTGCCAATAATCTTACCAGTTCATTTCAAATTTTTTATTTTATAAATGTCATTTCGTTAATTTCTAAGTAAGAATCGTTTAAGTTTGGATTTTCCCAATGATCATTTATTACATTACGCGATAACTTTTATATGTCAGAAGTTTCGAGATTACTTAGCAAAGATCGTAGGCCTGAGTCATCCTTGTCACTTATTTGTTTCATTCTTAAAAAATTTTTAACCAATGATTTTTTTGACTAACAAGATGTCATTTAGGACAAGGAGAAACATTGATCGGTATTACAAATTCCTAATTTCCTATGTGCAGAGCCTTTCATATAGTTTGGTGATAATGGCCAGGCTCTAAATGGTGATTGTGACTGGTTTTGATGAATCATCAAGGCGCGGAAAAATATGTCTATTAAATGCGCAACCATATGACAAGAAATCAAAACATGATAAGTCCAGAATAAACCTTAGAGAAAGATGAAAAGAGGGTTTCAGTATAGAAGAAGCAATGAGAAGAAAACAAAACACAATTTAAGAGAAAACGAGTTTTCGCGAGTTATTTCAAAATCGTTCTTCGAAAAATTTTAATAACAATATGTCTTTTTTCGATTGAAATGATTGAAATACTAAGTTTCTTTTACTTTTTTAAATTTACTGTCAATTTATACTGTTACGATCATAGACCTGTTGAGGAAAAAAGAATTGTATCACAAAAGTATTTCGTCTGCTAGTGATCCCCTCATTTGACTGATTTAAATCGCTAAAAATCCGTTAGAAATGTACTCTGGATTTACCTGATTGGAATTTATACAGGAATTCTGAGCTATTCGAATGATTTATGAATACATATAGTAGTCCGATATTTGACGGATCCTGAATTTATAAACACTTACAATGTGAAATCAAAATAAAAAATCAATTGGCGGAAAGGAAATGAAATTTTGTTCGAGAAACATTTGCAAGAATCCTTGATAGAATGCTAGTAATGCAAAGAAGTTAGACAAAGGTTCGGGAAGTTCAGACGAAAAGTCAATGTGATCAGCTAAATGATTTAAAACAGATGAAACTGCAATTTTGTATTTTTTTGAGTGCCAATTTTTTTTTTTTTTATTGAGTATATTTTGAGCGTCAAATATTCTTTTGATGATAGTGTTTCCTGTAGTTTACTTTCAAAGTATAATGGTTTGGTACCATAGACAATTGCGCCATGGAATGAAAAAAAATACTGATTTCAGATGGAAAGTATCCACTTAAGCATATGATGATATAAAGTTTTACCTATTATTTAAACTACGAGCTCTAGAGAAGCCATCATTGAAGTTGATATGAATGAAGTCGATTAAGTTCAATTTCTGGTTAGAAACGTTTATTTTGTGATAAACAAAACAATATTTTGAATGACACCAATGAGTAACTAAACTGTACCTTCAATGTCGCAATTAATCATCACAAAAACAGAGTTCACTTTATAACTTTTTGCATATGCAAAATATGTCAATGAGCCATCCTCGAAAGACAACTCCAATTTTTTACAATACCAATGCTATTCATCTTGACCAAAGATTATTTCAAAAAAGAAAGATTTACAAATGAGCAAAAGACTGCACAATTATATCGTACATTTTTTATAGACTCTAAAATACAATTTCTCAATATTTCGCTCAAAAAATATTTCAAATTAAATCGCACATCGAGGAATATTTTAGGCTTATATCTTTCATGGGTCTACAATTAAAATGAGTGATTTTGGATTGAAAAAGAGCTAACATAAAGTAGGAAAATAAACAAAAAATCTGAGTGATAAATTTGAAAATAACAACACTTTCTAGCATTTGGTAATAGTAATTAAAAAAAACTAATCTGTGAATTTTTTGTTCGGCTTGCTACATTTTCAGTACCATTTTCTCACCAACTTAACATACAGAATGGAGAACTTTAATTAATGGGAAATGGTAACGACCATAAACAGTAATAACAATACAATTAATTTCATTCGCTCCAATAAATGGAGCAATATCATAAGATAGAGTAAACTGGCAAAAAAAGAAACGTGAATGTTAGATAAAAACAACAATTATAATAAGGCTTGAAATTGTTTGATAAGCAAATACCCGAGTGATAAGATTGAAAGCCGCTTCATGACAAAATAGCAAATGGAAATTGAAAAGAGAAAAGAAAATCATTAAAATATCAGGCCTTGCTTGGGGCTATGACCCGTATTCATCCAGATACTGAATTCACTAGACTAAAACAATGGTGAACAGGAATAACTTTCGACCATGAATCTTAGAACAATCGAGAACAAGGAATCCTTTACAGATCATCATATATATTTTCCGGATAGCATTAATATTTACTTCAAAAATGTTACAGATAGTCTTTTCATGTATTAAGAAAAAGAGCAAGAAAACATTTGCGAGGAAACAAGAAACGAAAATGAGAACGATGAAATTACGACGCATCGAACACCTGTTCCCTCCTGATATCAAAATTTCTAACTGTGAATATTCGCCGCATTTTAAGTTGAGAGATTTTTTGCAGTAGTTCTATCAGTTGTTCTCTAATCGGATCAACATATTCATATAGCCATTCATCGATTGTACTTTTCCGAAAGATTGGCTGCATCAAAGACTGGATCGTTTTAGTCTGATATGAACAAAGACTTTTTTAATGTTAAATATATATATAAGAATATTATTATTAGTTTTCTATTACGTTCTAAATTCTTCAAATGATGGAATACTCTCCGTTACTTACACACACTCTTTCTTCTCACCTGTCTTCCCCTTTCTCTTTTCATAAAAAAATATATATATAAATGAAATTGTATATAAGAATTCTTATTTATATAAGAATGAAATCGACGCTTTTAAAATCACTCAACTTTTGATAAAGTTCGGCAATTCCAAAAACAACATACCATATCGAGCAATTCACTGATATGCCTTTCGATGATACTTTGCAAAGGCACCAGGTACCACAGCTGGGTATATTCATGACGCACATTGAATCGACTGAGCCAACCTTTTACCTGGTGACTATCAAAAACTTCGTTTTTGATCATTTCGATACGATTATGCAAAGAATGAATAACGTTGAATAATTCAACACCTGGAATTTTCCCTTATCAAAAAGGAGTACATATGGTAGTGGATATGATCACCGAGATAAGGGATCTTAGTTCCTCGCTTCTTCAGTTTAGATCAATTTAGTTGATATTATATTAGTATACTTACACTATCAGTCATTATAAACTGTCTGTGCAACCCACAAACTACAAATATTCAGATAGATAAACCATCAGATAGTACCGATATTATGATCCCACAAATAATACAAATATATGAAAAACCCATGGAATTTCAAGGATACAACCTGGGAAGTCGCAAGAATCAAACGAATGCATATATTCCAGAGAGATCTTTGAGGTACAATTCAATGCAACAGTGGTAGCATTAATTATCCATTGAGTAGAAAATTTATCACCTGCTTTTGCTACCTGCGAAAATTAACAGTAGCAAATATCCGTGAATATTAAGGTTGACAAAATACTGAGACATCTTATTTTGGAAAATACTTAATAGCATGAGAGTACCATATCGAGCGCAAACATAAATTTGCCATTCAATCTATCGTCGAAAAGCTTTTGGATGTTTTGAGCGAATCATTTGACTATCCAATCATCCCTGTCACTTTTGTGGGTTTATAGGGCGAAATTACTTTTATATGGAAATAAAAAAATCTTATTTGCTTCATCTACAAAACAGTATCTCGTTAATTCGCTTGAAAGTTCCGAGAATATGTCCTACCATGTTTCTACAGTATCCATTCAGCAATGTCAGCATAGCATTTAAGCCAGGTTTTAAATTTTAATAAATTCGAATTGAAAATATTCCTGACGGAATAATTTAAACTTACAAGAAGATTTAAGACAGCCGATGGAAGTCCAACTGGAAGAAGTTCGCATAGTACGGCGAAGTGATCATATCGTTGCCAACCGGTTATGATCAAACCCCGGAATGTACGAAATAGTGTGCCATACATCTAAAATTTAGTAAAATATATTTCCAAGTAAATGGAATTTGGATTTCTTTTCTTCCGCAAAGATGGTTGTATCGATTGCCTACGGTATTTTAACGATTTCATACAAATTCCAAAATACGTCTACATCTATTAAGGAAAACTCCAGAAAATATCTATTAAGGAAAACTTCAGGAAATATCCCCTATGGAAAACTCCAGCAAATATCTATTAAGGAAAACTTCAGGAAATATCCCCTATGGAAAAATATTTAATATTATATACGAAAGTTTTTGTTGCAGGCAACAAATCTTCCTTTCATCATTTCTTTTTTTTGAAATTTGGCTTAGACTTAAGCTTATGCTTAGGTTTACCTCTATACTTGGGCTTATCCTTATTCTTAAACTTATTTTTGGGCTTAGGTTTATTGGGCTTAGTTATTTTGCAGCATATATTTTTGTAATTAGAAGGAATATAATTGCTGAAATTGTGCACGTTCAGATGTAATTCATGATATTTCATGAATCCTAAGAAGAGGAAAAGTTTTAAACGTTGAATTTAATGGAATCGCATAATCAAAAGCAGAAAACTTGTAAACATTCGTAGATTATGTAAGAATGCCATTAATTTCTAAAATACACCAATAAAAATAAATTAAATATTGAAGATTTAAAAGGCTAAGAATTACACAAAATAGTTATTCAATTTCAATTTCAAAGTTTCACAATGCATCAAATTGTTCCTTTTTGTCTCTCAAAACGAGGTAGTGAAACAGTCTACGATGAGTACATTCATTAGTTAAATGATTACATCAATGGAAAAACAGTTTTGAGTCGCTTAGATCTCGAATTTTATGCAAATTCTGTTGAATTTTGGTTAAAGAAGAACTTACTCTTCGATGGGTAATCCATGCCTTATTATTTCTAAAATAATGCTTCAAATCCAAAAATGCCGACGATGGTTCATTGGCTCCTTTGAAAGCAGATGAGCCCCAAACTATTTGAAATTTTGCAGCCAAGGAATTCCATGTGAACTCTTGCAGAAGAAATTAGTTGTAACTTGCAAAATAATCAAAAAAAAAAATCATTGAAATTTCGTCAGGTCTATTTTTTAATAATTTTAATGAAAAATTTTAATTTTTCCCAGAACATTCCTGAAATTTTTGAGAAGAAATATTTGGGAAAAATCCATTAAGATATCGAAAAAAATGAATTAGTTCGCCAAGACATTTACCTAACCTAATCTTGATGCAAAGTTTGTAAATACTACGTATCTTTGTCCGCATTTAAAGCATTGCTTGTTAAATCAATGCAAGTTCCAGTTCAAAACGTTTTGCATCCAAAATTTGCCGGGTATAGATAAGTTCAGAAGTATACCATTTTGTTGCTGCAACGTTTCGGAATAATCCCAAACCACAACTTCTAAGAGCTGATCTAGACGATATAGCTTTACCAATGAGGATTCAAATGACTTAATCATGTCGTACCATGCCAGCACTCTAAAAACTATTCTGAGTCCAGTGTTAATTGTGAAAATGAAATTTTTGTAACTATCAAATATAAATTAGCTTAATTAAAAATATACTTACCTAACATCTGGAATTAGCTTTTTGACGTAATTTGCGATTTTGGCTAAATGCATTGCTGCAAGATCATCTTTGCCTTTGTCTTGATTTTCTACTAACCACCGACGATCTTTCGAACATTCACCGAACTAAAAAATATTGTTTTGATGAAATTTGAGAAATATATGTAAAGAATGTAGCAGTAAAGAATGATTTGTTAGGCTTGTTTTAAGGTGCATCAAACGACTTTGTGATGATGAAAAGACGCAGTTCTGCAAATGCGATATCTTTCAGGAAGTTTCGGGGATGTGAAATTAGAATTCTCAATGATAAATATAAAATGGAGGAAAAAATGGACCTGAAAAGCCTCATCAGCACCAATGTGAAAATATGTCATTCCAAATGGTAAATGGGATTCGACAACCTGACGTATGGCTTCCAAAACTATTGAAACACCATCATCATCTGTTAAACAAATGACCTGTAATTACACTGCTTTTGCGCATATTACTAAATTCAAACTTTGAAGGTGTAAATAATGCATTAGAAGCAAATTGAAAACAATTTGGTTGAATCTAATATCATTTTAAATTGCATTTAACTAGTTCAAAGGAAGCTGCACCTGTGGGAACATGTCGTTTTGTCGGTATTGCCTGAATTTTTCCACTTTAAGAATCCATTCTAAATGTCCAAAAGTTGGTACAAGCGGTATAACATCAAGTTTGAGTGATTTGGCTGTTTTCAAAAGGTCACGAACTTCTTCCACAGTGTAAGCATCACTATTACGATTCTCTGCTAAAATACCGCTAAATGGGAATGTATCCTCCCATTCCAGCAAAATTCCTGAAATGTAAACCACAACAAATACGGTATGTCAAATTATCTTTATATGATTAGTACAAGAAAATCTTTTCCAACTCAAACCAAAAACCTAGAATTGCTACTTACGAGACTCAGAAAACTTTTGTTCATTTAAATCGGAAAGAAAACTATTGATAATAAAATTAAAGCATGAAATTAAACACTGATAAAACAGCTGAAATTATATTAATAATTAAGTAGAAATTAAATGTCTATATTTCCGGTAAAACAAACTAAAGACGAACCTGTGGCACCGTTCGCTTTTATAAGCTTTAATACTTCTTTCAAATATGATATTTTCGGTGCAGCACCTTTCAAATCAAAATGAATTATCCTGTTTGGGTAAAATGATTGCTGGAATTTTAGAATGATAAGTGCAAATTAATTGTTTGAGAGATGGGCGGCCATTTCTAGGAGAAAAGAAAATCTCCATTCAGACGAAGAAGGAATTTTAAAACTTGTTAATGCTTCAACATATAATATCAGGTTGGAAATAACATATAGCATATTGATTTATGTTAAATTAAATGACCGCAAAGTGACTAATAGCCGAATTACTAAAAGGAAAGAAGTCAGAAAAGTATGGAGCTCATTCAACTAAAATAAAAATTGGAAGGTATTTAAGTTATGAAAAACGCGAAATTATAATTTATCTAAAAGGGCCAATACATCGTAAGAAGCTTTGCTGCTTTGTGCTTGATATCGATCATGTATTTTTATTGATTGCGATGATCCCAATGGCTTATACCATCCTGATGTTTTCCGTTCAGACTTCTGATCTACCTAGAAATTTCGGATAGAAATTTGCTTTATAGTATGTAAATTTCATGCGCATTGTAACTTCAAAATGTGTCAAGACTGGATCCAGACAATGCTTCTTACAGATCTAAGATATCTTGTAGCTATGGCTTGATCAATTCTTTCTCCCAAATCTAATCCCGAACCGCAGTTACTGAAATTCATAATTTTTCTCATACATAGAAAATGCATTTGTTAAAACAATTTGAAAGCAGTTTAACCAACATTCCATTTTAATTTCTGCAAATCCTTTGTTGTCTTTGATGAACTTTGCATTATTTCTTTGCCATCGAAATTTCGGGAATGTTCTGGACGTACCTCATCTTTCTGAATTAAGTCTTATAATTATTCCTTTTCCTTACTGCATTAGATTAGTGTACCTGATTTATTTCTCGAATTTGCTCACTAATTTGCTTTAATCAACTCCAATCATTAAATTATTTACTTTGGATTGAACACTTTCTGACATTTATTTTAAACTCGCAGAAATTGTTATTTGTATGAGGTTAGCATTATATAAAATATAATAAAATATAACTTTTCAATAATTAAGATTAACCTGTGCCACCTGCCTATAAGTGGGCAAACCGCGAGTAATTTCAAGAACAATGCAACAAAATGTAAGGATCAGAAATGTCCGGAAAGTTAGCAACCTCCAAATTCTACATCCGAGCCACCGAGATCTTGCGATAATGCTCATAGCCTAAAAATGAATTATTTCAACAATTTGTAAAATTATATTCAAATGTGTATAAGTTTATTAACCCGAAAAGGAAAATTAAATGTTCGCTTTCTATAATCATATTTTTAGAAATTATTCAATGGCGAGGAAACGAATCTAGAATTCATTGAAGCAAAAGAAGCATGACCGCTTTGGGAAATGTTGCAGAAAATCTAAAAATTTTTTAACTTCATTTAATGCATTCTTGCTCTATTTAATGCTATGCAAATTTTTGTCTTATTATCCAATTGATTAATTTAAACAACTAGTCATTTTAATGAAATTTATTTGAATCGAATTGCGCTTATTTTCACTTCCTGCTACGGTCATACCACAGATGATAACATTTTTTGAATTTCAGTTTTGTGAGGACATATTCATAGAATGATCACTAGAACTATTTCATTTTTTGTTATAATATAATTTGCATAAGCATACCGTGTCAGTTATCAAGACATCTCTGTCTTTTGAAATTTAAAAATATTGAGAATTGTAGCAAATCAATTCCAAACAAAATTAAGACTTTAAGTGAAGGAATGATTTTAAAAAAAAAAAGCAAATGTTGAATTTATGTTTGTTGTAAATTTCACATACTTGCTTATTAAATGGAATCTTTTGATATGAATATGTGAGTGTGAATAATTTAATCTCCGAATAAGATAATATCGAAGTTGCTTTTCAGTATTTGCAAATTGGTGAAAGAGAATATTGAGCAGTGTTAGATCGGAAAACAACATAAGAGGATAGAATTAGATAAAAGAGCGCAACTGTACCGATCATTATTCCTCATCGGTTCAAAAATGGGCACCTTTCCTGACCTGTAATCAATAACACATTAAAGATAATTGGATGACAAATTAATTTATCTCATCATTAAGTATGGTGATTAGAGGATGTGGTCAACGAAAGCTATTATAGTTCATGTCTTAAGATACATAACTTACATGTCATATCAATATTCAATAATTTTTGTTAGGTAAAAAGAAAAAACAAAAGGTAATGAAAGATGGTAACGACAGCTTTATTAAATTCATAAATTTTCAAATATATTCAATTGATAAATCTGTAATTACAGGACTGGTTTTGAAGAAGCTACGAACTACTTATTGATCAGTTTAAATTTTATAATGAACATATAAAGCTTTTAAGATTTTGAGAGAACTGTTAGCCATTGACAATCTAACGGACGGATGTATCGCAATATGTATCGGAAGCCTATTTGAGAGCAAAGAAGAACTACATGATGAGGCAATTTAATCCATGGAAATTCCAAATGCGGAGAATTTCATTTTTGTATAAACTTTTATGGTTTCACTTAGGTTAGACTAGAACGCTTATAGGTGTTTAACAACCAATGACATCATCTTATTATGAATATTTACTATTATCCACTCATTCAGTATAAAAATCCGTCCATACATCCCTCATACAGTTTGCGAATCTAAAATTTTTCTATAAAATTGATTTTAAGTGACTCATCGAGATATTTCCGCATCTATGAATAATGCATCTCTCAAGTATCAAACATCTTCATCAATCTATCATCAGAAAATTAAAAGTATTTTTCAGTTGACGAAAGGTTGATTAAATGAAAGGAAGACCATACAAGAGAGCCAAAGAATTTGGTATAAACATTACCAGTTGAGAAAGCTCTTTTTTCTCTTGCGCTGTTTTCGACATTTCCGTTTCTTTCAAACATTATCTTAAAATCTAACAATTTATGAGTAAATTTCAGATAAACAAGTTCTGTTCTCTTGGCAAAGGCTGTCGAAGTCGCTTTAAAAACTCTCAAATTTTCAGATATATGATAGTAGGAAAGATGGTGAGAAACGACTACTGCAAGTGAAGCTTCACTTGATCAAAAATTATGACAATTGCTGAGGTTTCATAGGTAGTTGATAGAATTATAACGATGTGATGTGTTCTCTAAGGGAGATCGGATCGATGTATTGCTTGCTGCTTGCTGTGAGTTATTAGCCTCTCTTTCATACATTTTCCATGGTAATTTATCCATTATTTGATGAATTTCATAGGGATTTGTTATATTCAAATACCAAAAAAAATCAAGTTAAAAGTAAAAAAGTTAAGTTGGAAGTCAAAACTTTGTTTTCCAGTTAATAATTTTCTCACATTTCTTAGAACAACGTAAATGAAGGGTAATTACGGAAATTGAAATTGTGCTCAAAATTCAATTTCAATTTAGACAAATCAATTTAAAGCTTAATAATAAAAAGTTGAGAATAAAAAACTCGGAAATCTGAGGTTCTTTTCCATTGTTTTACTTATTCTTGCCAGAATTGAAACTGGCCTATCAAAGCAGGATGACAAAAATATTCATTCAATGGAAACTATTGATGAATGGTACTAATACTCTTTCATAGGAATTCACATTTGTTCTTTTCATTGGTTTCCACAGCTCTTTTATAGCGAGTGCAGAATCGTAGCCTTCAAAGTAAACCTAAGCTAAAAAAAAAAAGACTGAGCTCAAATCTGTTTTCAGCCAACCGTTTAAGAACATTTCATGGAAAACTACGAAACCCCAAGATTTTTAAAATGTAACTTTTAGAAAAAATAAAATATAAGACAAAAATTTCTCAATTAAGTAGTAATTTTGAAGGAATAACTTTTGAAAGTTTATATCCGAAAAGTTAATCATGGCCAAACTGCTTGTAGCATAACGAAATAAGTAACCGATCACTAACTTAAGTTCTATCATTTGCAATGGTTTTTATTATTTTAGGGAAGCTCTGCTATTTGTGAAAATAATAAATTGGATGAGATCAATTTCACAGACTAAAAAAGCAACTTTTGGAATATAAAAGCAATTTTGAACTGATCGACACCTCAATCTGAAAATTCGTCACTTGTAGTTTCAACAATACAAACTATCGGTCTAAAAGAGTTGCTGCCAGTTTCCATTACTATCAAAAGACATGAAAAATCAAAATTCCAATAATACCATCTCCGCGAGTCAAACCTTGTGGTATCACTCAATCTTATGAAATCAAATATTATTGCTGCGCTTCGCTTAATTTTTATCCTTTTCGGCACATATCACAAAAAAATCAATCCTGAAATAGATAGAACGGAATGATGGATCGATAATTATATCTTGCAATCCTTCCCTACCCTTTTCTCCATCCAAGAATCAGCTGTTGACATGTTTTGTAACTTATGAAAAATGACTGTCAAATGAAATAAATGTGGTTTGGGGTTTTTTTTGTATTATGACATTTTGTTCGAGGACAGGTTGAAAAGAAAGACCATATGATGAATGTTTATTTCATTAACTTCCGTTTGATCCATTTTCTTGACCATATCATTCTTCAATATAACTTGAATATAAATTACTTTAACTTAATTTCCTTTTTATTTCAATTCATTCATTCTTATCAGATTACATCATTTCTGTAATAATTTAATTTAATAATGATCTCTTGCCAGTAAATCATATTAAAAATTATTAATATTCAAACATTTTATTTAAGGTAATTATTACATTTAATTCATAAATTTCGAACAGTTTTTACACACTAATATTCAATGCTATCACTGTAACAATAAGCTTACTTTTGGGAAATAATATTGGAAATGTGGCAAAAAGTAGCTAAGATGGCATGAAAGCGTTTCTAATTGTCAAAAATAGCAAAGACATCATAACTATTAACTCAGTTGTGGATGTTAAAGTTGAAGTTAAAATTAAAGAGAGGGTCCTTCGCAGACTCCTTAAAGGCTTCTTTGATTCATGGCCAGTTCAACGATTCAGAACTTTTACGGATTGAGCAAACGAGGACCATTTTCAACTATTATCAAACCAACTTTCATTTGCTTAATTTGTTTGCATCATTTTCCTGACTGTTCAAATAATGACTGTGATCTTTAATTTCTGAACTGCTTACACTTTACTGTTTACTTTTTTATCCCATTATTTGTTTTGATTTGCGGTTTACCTTAATTTGATTACCTTATTTCTTGAAAAACAAAAATACACACTTTATCAGCCTATCAAGCTTATCAATGCACCCTACCATTAAAAGATCTTTTATTTTTAAGTAATCAGTTTCTGAGACTCAGCGTTTTTGAAAAATTTCGACATTCCGATCGCCATTTCATCAATGCAACATCCAGTCATTAACTGTGTTAAAATTGCTCATTTTTATATAACTTTTTAGAAAATCCGAAAGTTTTATTGGAAATTTGGATGAAAGTTAAATATGAAGCTAATTTTAACTGGGATGTAGGAGAAATCCAATGACAGAAATTAGAGACCCTTTTTGGAATATGTAGCTATGGTGACCACTAATGAACGATGTGTTTTGTCCTGATGGCTAATATGACCCTTTCCTCATGAACTAAAGCTAGCCTTGGATTACAATTTAACTAGTTTATTTAAATTGAAAAAGCTGTCACTGGTTTACATATCCTTTGCTTAATATTAGTTCCAATATTATGAATGCTTGCATTAATCCAAAAATTAATTATTGAGAAGCAAGTCGAACTGTATGAATAATTTGAAATAAAATGGGATCCTAAAATACAAAAAATGGTAACATATCATGGTAATTCTACAGTTAATCTTTAATAGAAAGCAAAATGACATGAAGGGATACTTTAGAGGAAATTTTAATGGTAGGAACATGACCTCAAAATAGATTAATTCATTGAAAAAGTGAGGGAACTTAACAATCTTAAAATTTTCTGAAATAGAAGAAATCAAAAGTCATGTGTTAAATATTAATAAGAATATGACGAGAGGAATGAACGGATGTGGTTGGAGATAGCATAAATTAATTAATGACTGATTAATAGGAAAATTTTGCTTAAATTAGATTGGAAAAATTTAGAAATTAAATTAGACAATTAGAAAATAAGATTAATTAAGAGTAGTAAGATTTGAAAAAGAATTCATTTTTAATTGGTAGTGGTAACTGACCACTAGAAATGGACAAGTAAAAATGAACTGTTCTATTACTCTGAAA